TTTTAGATTCACAGCAAAACGGAACAGAAGGTACCAAGAGTTCCCTTTTACCCTCTGACCCTACACTCACAAGCTCTCTCATTAACAGCATGTATTACATTTGTTACAATTGATGCACCTACATTGACACACTATTATCACTCCAAGTCCACAGTTTACACCAGGGTTCACTCTTGGTGTTGTACATTCTATGTATAAATATATAATGTCATGTATCTATCATTATAGTATCATACAGAATAGTTTCACTTCCCTGAAAATCCTCTGTGCTTTGCCTATCCATACTTCCCTCCTCTCTAAAACCAGGCAACCACTAATAATTTTACTGTCTTCATAATTTTTGTCTTTTCTAGAATGTCAGAGTTGGAATCATAAAGTATGTATGTAGTCTTTTCAGATTGTGTTCTTTCACTTAATATGCATTTCAATTTCTTCCATGTCTTTTCATGGCTTGTTAGCATATTTCTTTTTAGCTCTGAATAATATTCCATTATCTGGATGTACCACAGTTTGTTTTTTAATCCATTCACCTACTGAAGCATATCTTAGTTGCTTCCAAATTTTGACAATTATGAATAAAGCTGCTACAAACATCTGAGTGCAGGTTTTTGGGTGGAATATATTTTCAGTTCATTTGGGTAGATACCAGGGAGTGTGATTGCTGGATCACATGGTAAGAATATGTTTGCTTTTGTAAGAAACTGCCAAACTGTCTTCCAAAGTGGCTATACCATTTTGCATTACCATTAGCAATGAATGAGAGCTGCTTCACATCCTCACCAGCATTTAGTGTTGTCAGTGTTTTGAGTTTAGGGCACTCTAACAGATGTGTAGTGATAGCTTGTTCTTTTAATTTGCAATTCTCTAATGACATATAATGTTGAACATCTTTTCATATGCTTACATGCCATCTCTATATCTTCTTTGGTGACATGTCTGTTTGGATTTCTGACCTTTTTTTTTTTTTGGTATGCGGGCCTCTCACTGTTGTGGCCTCTCCCGTTGCGGAGCACAGGCTCCGGATGCTCAGGCTCAGCGACCATGGCTCACGGGCCCAGCCGCTCCGTGGCATGTGGGATCTTCCCAGACTGGGGCATGAACCCATGTCCCCTGAATGGGCAGGCAGACTCTCAACCACTGCGCCACCAGGGAAGCCCTCTGACCATTTTTAAATGAAGTTGTTCATCCTCCTCACTGATGAGTTTTAAGAGTTCTCTGAAATTTTGATACAAGTCCTTTATGAGATGTGTCTTTTGCAAACATTTTCTTCCAGCCTGTGGCTTTTCTTATCATTGTCTTGAAGTTTTCTTTTGTAGGTCAGAAGATTTTAATTTTAATGAAGTCTAGTTTATCAATTATTTATTTCATGTATCACACCATAGATGTGTCTAAAAAGTCATTGTCATACACAAGGTTATCTAAGTTTTCTCCTACATTATCCTTTAGGGATTTTATAGTTTTGCATTTTACCTTAATGGCTATAAGCCTTTTTGAAATACTTTTCTGAAGGGTGCAAGACCTGTGTCTACATTCATTTTTTTTGCATGTAGATGACCAGTTCTTCCAGCCAGCACCATTTATTAAAAAGATTATTTGTTTCATTGTATTGCCTTTGCTCATTTATCAAAGATCAGTTAACTATACTTATGTGGGTTTATTTCTGGCCTCTCTATTCTATTCCATTGATCTATTTGTCTATTCTTTCACCAATATCTCATTGCCTTCATGACTATAGGTTTGGAGTAAGTCTTGAACTTAGGTAGCATTAGTCCTCCAACATGCTCTTCAACACTGAGTTGACTATTCTGGGTCTTTTGCTTCTCCGTATAACTTTAGAATTATTTTGTCAATATCCACAAAATAACTTGGGCTTTTTATTGCAATTGTATTGAATCTATAGATCAAATTGGAAAGAACTGACATCTTGACAGAGTTTTCCTATTCATGAACATGGATTATTTTTCCATTTCTTGAATAATTCTTCTTTGACATCTTTCATTAGAGTTTGTAGTTTTCCTCATATAAACCTTCTACATATTTTTTTTAGATTTATACCTAAGTAGTTCATTTTTCTTGGTAGCTAATGTAAATGATAATGTGTTTTTAATTTTAAATTCCACCTGTTCATCTGGCATATAGGAAAAAAATTGACTTTTTTTCAGGAGGTTTTTTTTGTCAATTCTTTTGGATTTTCTACATAGACAAGCATGTCATCTGTGAATAAAGAGAGTTTTATTTCTTCTTTCCAAATCTCTATACATTTTATTTCCTTTTCTTGCCTTGTTACATTAGCTAGGACTTCCAGTATGATTTGAAAAGGAGTGGTAACAGAGGACATCCTTGCCTTATTCCTGATCTTAGTGGGAATGTTTCAAGCTCCTTGGCATTAAGTGTGATGTTAGCTATAGAATTTTTTGTAGATCTTCTTTATCAAGTTGAAGAAACTCCCCTCTATTCATAGTTTACTGAGATCTTTTATCATGCATGAGTGTTGGATTCTGTCAAATGCTTTTTCTGCAACTATTGATATGATCATGTGAGTTTTCTTCTTTAGCCTGTTAATATGATGGATTATATTGATTGATTTTTGAATGTTATACCAGTTTTATATACCTGTGATTATACCACTTGGTCATGATAAATAAGTATTTTTAGATTTTATTTGCTAATATTTTGTTGAGAATTTTTACATTTATGTTATAAGAGATATTGGCCTATAGTTTTCTTTTTTGTAATGTCTTTGTTATGGTATTAGGGTGATGCTGGCCTCATAGAATGACTCAGGAAATAGTCCCTCTCTTCTATCATCTGGAAGACATTGTAGAGAATTGATATAATTTATTCATTAATGTTTGTAGAATTCTCCACTGAACCTGCCTGAGCCTGGTGCTTTCTGTTTTGAAAGGTTATTAATTACTGATTCAATTTCTTTAACAGATATAGGCAAAATCAGATTGTCTTTTTTCTTGCGTGAGTTTTGGCAGATCATGGCTTTCAAAGAATTGGTCCATTTCATCTAGGTTATCAAATTTGTTGGCATAAAAGTTGTTTATAATATTCCTTTATTATCCTTTTATTATCCATGGGATCTGTAGCAATGTCCTCTCTGTCATTATTATATTAATAATTTGTGGTTTTCTATTTTTTTCTAGTTAGCCTGGCTAGAGGCTTCTTGATTTTATTGATTTTTTCAAAGAACCAGCTTTTGGTTTTGTCAATTTTCTTTATTGATTTCCTGTTTTTTTATTTCATTGATTTCTGCTTTGATTGTTATTATTTATTTTTTTTCTGCTTTGGATTTAATTTGCTCTTTTTTTCTAGTTTACCAAGGTATGTTGTAGTTTCCCCAGCTATGTTAAGCACTGTTAAAACCCCAGCAGATTAGGCTCCTGTAAAATAGTTTTTCCTGAGGGCAGACCTTGATAAGAACAGAATGCTCTGGTGTATTTCAAAATAGTTTTCCCCTCCCTCTTCAGGAAGTCTGAGGGGATTTCTGACCACTATTGATGGTCAGAACCTGGTAGAGCTCCTGAACTCACAAAAATATGGGGGCTCTCTGACTGGGTCTTTAAGAGAGTTTAACATTCAGAGTTGTCCACACTGAGCCTCCAGCAATTCATCAGTTACTGTTCAGGTTTTCCTACCCAGGCACTCGTTCCCATGGCTGTTTCTCTGCTGGTAGGTTTCTGTTCTGGTAAATTGTGATTCTTTGTATCCACCTGTCTGCCTCTACAATTTTGGCAACAGTGGTTTGCTCTTTGACCTCACTTCTCTGCCTGATTGAAAAAGAGGAGTTGATTTTTCATTTTGCTCAGGTTTTTACTTCTCATTAGGATAGAGTGGTAACTTCTAAGCTTCTTATATGCCAGACTGGAAACTGGAAGTCTGGATAATACTTTTGTTTCCATTTTCAAAGCTCTTTCAAGTGGAATCTCTGGTTGGCTCCATTGTGCTATGCTATGAATTGAGCTAAACCTTGTAACCAGCACTTAGCATCTGAGGAAAGATAATTCAGTAGAAGGCACAGATTCTTTTCTTACACAGTGAACGTTATCTCCTGAAACTGTGGAATAGGAAACTCATAGCTTTTATGGAGAAACCTCTTGCAGTCTCCAGAGGTTTTGCAAATGATTCACAGGTGTAGCTGGTTTGAGGAAACAGATGTGCTCTTGAAGAATTGTGTGCAAATTGAATTTTTGTTAATTGAAACTTATTTAGAATTCATTTTAGGAGAGGTAACTGTTTAAAGTAGCCCTTTGGTGAATTCTTTTGTGAAATGAATAATTGCTCCTTAATTCGTCTTTTTTAAAAATGGAAATTTTTATATGTGACACTTTCTTAAAGCTATGAACCAATTCTAGGCCTGTGTAGGAAGCATAGAATACTTGTGGCTCTTGGTAACAATACAACTCATTTTTCTATAATTAAAGAAAATGCTGTATATAAATAGCTGAATATATCCTATATGCAGTGTTATGTTTAGAAACAGAAGTAGCCTAGAACTATGATCTTGAAGAACAGCAGCAATTTGAAGTAAAATAAACTGGGTGTTTGGTCAACATTGACTAATGTAGTATTAATAATATAGTTTCAAGTGACACTGCACTGGTGATTCAAATTCTATAAATCTAGTATAAGGCCCAAGGATGTGGATTTTTAACAAAAAAAATCTGCTCTGCCTAGTAGTCACTGGCTACCTGTGGGTATTTAAATTTAAATTAATTAAAATTAAATTCAGTTCCTCTGTAGCACTAGTCATATTTCAAGTGCTCAATAACCACATGTGGCCAGTGGCTACCATATTGGATAGAACAGATTATAAAACATTTTCATCATCTTGAAATGTTCTATTCAACAGTACTGCAATGATTCTAATAACAGGCAATGTTGGGAAACATTGGTTTAATTACAAGAAGACTCTCCTTAGAGTCAGGACCCTAAGATTATAGGCTCTACCAGAGAAGTAACTTTCTGTGATATTAGTTTATTTGTTGTTACAGGTGCCATTGGGAGCCATTCTGCTGAAAATTAAAAAGGTCTGTCTCTTTCTCAATGTTATCCTTTATCATATGGATAATAATTTCATGCTTCTGCCTTATAGATATTACTACAAAATGAAGAGTGGTTTTCATTGACCACAAATGAAAATCAGTTTCATTACTTTCAGAGGCACACCTCAAAGATTACATGAGCACCCATATAATTTCGGAAGAGGGTGCAAATATAATTGATAAATTCCAAGTCAAGTAATAAATATTGGCTGGTGATATTTTCCTAGGATAAATTTAGTAGAAGACAGGAAATGTGTTATTGGATTCATATGTTGTATTAAAAGATATTATAGAACCTGAGAAAGTGCTCAGTATTTATAGCTCAGAACTTTGTTTCTTAGATAAACTGGTATCCCTCCTTTCCCTCTATTATAGATAAATGAGTTGAAACATAAAAGCCTCTGATCTAACTTCTCTGTGCCTCAGTTTCTCTATAAAGTAGGGATAATAATAGTTCCCACTTCATTTGTGTGTTGTGAAGATTAAATAATACATGATAAGCACTTGGAACAGCACTACCTACACAGGACTTAATACATTTTAGCCATTACTCTTTTTATTGTTCTCATCAACTACATCACAGAGTTAATCACATACCTGGGAATAGGACTGACCTTGCTAGCATTTTAGTCCTTCTGTCTGTATCATGTTGTTTTCAAATACAATCTGCCACGTTCCACTATGTTACTTGACTCATATAGAGTGCCTGGGATCTGGGCTATATTTGGGAAAAGAGGAGCTGCTTAGAAAATCCATTCTTGTCCTGTGCTGACTTTTTGTTTTCCAAATCAGTCTACCTAAATCTTAAGAGAACCTGAGAACACTGGAGACCCAGGATTGGACCAGGCCTTGGGACTCTGAAGGAATTAGAGCCTTATCAAATAGTCAAAATATTTATCTATTTTGAAAAAATATATATTTAAAGCACTGCTTTTTCTTTTTATTTATTTTTTTTATTGGAGTATAGTTGATTTACAATGTTGCATTAGTAGGACTGCTTATTTGCAGTAAATATTTAGATAGGCAATGACAAACTCATATGGATAATAATTTCTTCTTCTTCATTTTTTCTTCTTTTAGTGCAGTCTGCTGATGATCCCTGACAGGTAGGACTATAAACAAAATGTCACTTTCCTGGTTCAAGTATTTACCAGACATTTCAGTGTTTCTGACAAGGATTACATCTTCAGTATGGTTAGTCTTTGACTTGTTTTCCAAGTCTCCAGCTAGTACTTGGTCTTGCGCTTGCATTTTATGGTCATCTTCCTTGGTGAGGTCAGATTCTGACAGGATGCGTATTTTTCACTCTATAGTATATAAATTTACACAGCACCCTATCTGGCGGGAAAGAAGTATGTGTTGTTATGGGTTTAACACGTAAAACTTTGTGAAGAGTCAAGCTCTTCAAATCCAGACTGGCACAGAGTCTACCACCAGACTGCCAGTAAAATAGATGAAAACCAAAGGAAAATAACCACATTTTAGAGTAGATTGTAATTTAGTCATTGAATATGTTCTGAATAACCTCCCAAAAAACTATTTGGTGAGAAATATGAAAGACTGCTTTGTTTCAAACATCTCTCATCTCCTATGGTGTCAGAACTAAAGACCTTGATTTTTCATGTTCCCTGGGAGTCGCTTCCAACTCATCACTTAACTGATCTTATGGTCCCCTTTCCACCCACCTCACTCACCACATGGGCTTTCCCTACTGCTTTTCATGCCTCTCTTCTATTCCTTCAAAAAGTGCACATGTCATTGCTTGCTCTGTTAAGTCTTTGTGTCTCCTCTGTCCAAGCCAGTTACTGAGGAACTAAGTCAACTGGGTATGTGAAAGAGGGGACACAGACTTTTTCCTAAGCTTTCCTCCAGGCTCTCCCCCCACCTCTTTAGAGTTTTACCAGTAATAGCTTAGTTGGAAATCTCGGCTTTCCTTCCTTCGTTGTGAGCAAGTTAGAATTGTGTGTGTTTGCCTATCTAGCATCATCTTGTCTCAGGCTGAAACAAGGGAAAGCGTTTTAAAGGGGTCCATGTAGATGGTAAGGTTGAAATAAATTTCTAGGCCCAAGATAGAGCCGCTTCTGCCTGGGGAACCATGTCAAGAAACCAAAACTTAGATAACTTTCCTGTCCTTGTAAATGTTCCACTTGACCAAAAATCCAGTAAATTCAGTAAACCAAGCCCTAAATGCCAAGCTAACTCTGGGCCTTCTCATTCCAAACAAGGTTGAGTCTGTGGCCCCAGCCAATCAGATATTTTGTATTTGCCCCTTCCTTATTCTTTATCCTATAAAATCTTTCTGCCTTCTACCCCATTTTGCAGCTCTCCACAGGAGACGGTCCACTTCATGAAGTGTTAAAGTTTGTATTGTATCACCTACATTGTCTTTTTTAATCATTTTTTAACATTATTCACCAAAGAAAGTTAAATTTAAATCCACTCTATTACCTGTAGTATTCCCAAACTGGGCTTGAGAGGAGAATTACTTGGAAGCTTGTTAATAATACAGATACTTGGACCCCATTCCAGAATCAGAATCTGTAGAGTGGGGCTTTAATTTTCTTCAAAGTGTCCCAGATGGACTTGATTGTGAATGGACCAACATTTGAGAACTCACTGATGCTTACCTTCTAGATCCCCTCTCCAAATATTGTGGTTGTAGGAGAGAAAGTCCTGGGCTGACTATCAACACTTCTGAGTGCTGATACTCCCCTGGGTCAGCACAGGTAATTGAGAGTTGATCTATTAACTTTTGAAAATTATCATAGAAGAACATGAAAGGCCCCAAGCAAGAAAGGAAGATGGGATTCTTGCCTAACAGGAGATTTGTTTGTATCTTTTACAGTTTATCAATGAAAAAAAGGAAGGAAAAATACCTGTTTAATGCAACAGCAGAACAGTCACAACCACATAGATGATGAAAACAGGTTGCTATTGTTCTTAGCCAAATTCAGATGGCTTTTACCTTATAACTACTTAGATCATTTTACATTTTTCTTGCCTTCTCTTTAACTCATCAAGCAGGCATTGGGGAAGTTTGCCTGTATATTACATCTGCATTAAAAGCATTGCTCTTATCATGTACTGTTAAAAGATAATTTTCATAAAAAAGGTAAAATCATGACTCTCACACAGATATAAAACAACCATGTGTTAATGATTTTATTTATTTTATTTAAGTTATTAATGAGGGAACTTGGCAGCTTTTACAACAGGTCCAAACACAGACATATTTCTAGATCTTAAACATTGACTATTGGACTTGCAAATGGAAGCAAATTGGCTTCTGGCTTTTTTATTTTTATTTTTTATTTTTTGGTGAGGGGCCTCCCTCTTTCCTCCTTGGGATAGAGGTCATTTCCATGTTCATAGAGGAGAATCATTTGCATTATTGTCATCAGTTCTTTACAACATACAGAATTATAAAATACCTCAAAATTGATGAAAGACTAGAAACAGATAAACTGGAATAGTGTGCCCTAAACAATGCATAGTTTTCCACTGAAGCACAAATGTTTCCCTATGCTACTGAATATGTGATAGCTCCCTATTGCTATTAAATATTAACTTTCCTCCTTGACTTTCAAATCTCTCCTTAACCTTATTTGCTTTAGGCTGTTCCCTTGATTTGTCATGTCCTGTTTTCTGACTTCCAATTTTGAAAAAATGACCTATTTTTAGATGAATTTAATTTGATTATAAAATTAGTGCATATTCATTTTGGAAATTTTGTAAAATACAAAGGAAGAATGTAAAGAAGGGAACAAAAATTATCAGTAACCCTATAGCATTTGGAGGAGGAGTTACACTATAACACAATTAATGGTCAAGGGAGTTTGAAGAGTTTTTAACCTATTGTTCCACGGCTCTCAACCCTTAATTTGCTAATGGTTCTATCTACCTACCAGTTGAAGACTTCTGCCCTTGCTGTGGCCTGGATTTCAGAAAGTCAGCTCCTGTCAATTCAGTCTGCCTTTTTTTCACTCCCGTCAATATTTCTCCCATGCAGACTCAGTCCCTGTGCTCCATCCTAACTGAGAAGAACAACCCTCTTTCTTCTAAAGCCACCAATCAGTGGCATTCCTATGTGCCTCTCTATGAAACTGTAGCTGAGTTCCTACATAAAGACTATCAAAGGCATTTGGGAAATTAAGAACTTTGAACCAGCTTTTTTTTTTTTTTTTCCCATTTGCTTTGGTTTGGAAAGAGTATGTCAATGCAGGGTGAAACGTTCCAGGGACGGGGGGTGGGGGGTTAGGAGGCGTTTACATCAATCTATCCTTGATGCTCAAAGTCCTATACTATATCCAGTATGTCTCCATTACCCTAAGGTGCAGGCTGCTAGTTGATGCCATGATCTTTAATCTTCAGAGCTAGAACATTAAAGATACCAAGGGCCAGCCGCCTTCCTACACTCACTTCTTCAAGACTTTCAGTGTTCAGCTCAATAGTAACAATGCTGGAGAGATACAACACCACATCCCCCACCCCCCATCCTCAAATTCAGGGGCCAATGGCACATTGATTACCAACACATGAGCATACTCATGAAACACATGCTTGGCCCTTGTTGGTTGTCATATATGTGTGTTCACGTTAAACATTTAGCCACCAACTCCCTGAAAATGAAAGCCTTGATTTGTAATATTTGCCAATTTCCATGGTATAAATACTCCCACCATGGCTGACTTTAATCTACTGGCATGATGTCACTGAACATGGAGTTGGGAAGAGATTGTGCTCAATAGGTTATCACAAGGCGGGAGGGACCACAACACTGCCTCCCACACCCCAACCTCCACGGAGAGCTCTTTGCATGGAGGACACTCAGCCAGAGACAACTTCAGAGAGAGTCATGCTAACAGCAGCTGGCTGAGGATGATATCACCAAATGACTCACAAGCCTTTTGTGGCTAGCTGAGCCTTAAGTCATCACAACCCCTGTCCTTCCTTCTGTCATTAAACTTGGTCTTAGGTCATCTAGTACAGGTAGTCTAGCCCAGGTATATGATGATTCAAGTGATCCAGAGCCAGTCTCCCTCCACACCACTCACAAAATGAATTTGATTTCTGCTTTATAGTAAACACAGTTTGGATAGGAAAATTCCATTCCAAGGGGAACCCTGTGTTCTGGGGTCCTCTGAAATTACATTATCTATTCCCAGCATTTATTCCTGGCATAAAAACCCAATATCAGGATTCAAATTTTTTTATTAAGGGCCTGGTGGGCATATAGCCATGGGCTTACCATGTAAGCCCAGAGAGAGATTTTACTAAGCTGTTTTTTTTTTTTACAGCTCTATAAAAGTATAATTTTTAAACCATAAAATTCACTCATTTTAAGTGTAAAATTCAATGTATTTTTGTTTTTATTTGGTTTTGTTTTTACTACATTTACAGAGTTGTGCAACTATTACCACAATCTAATTTTAGGCCATTTTTATCACTTCAGTTAGAAACCCCATACCCATAAGCAGTCAATCCCCATTCCCACTACCTTCCCTCCTCAGTCCTAAGCAATCACTTCCTGTCTCTATAGATTAGCCTATTCTGGACATTTGATATGAATGCAATCATATAATATGTGGCCTTTTGCATCTGGCTTCTTTCACCTATCATAATGTTTTTAAGCTTCATCCATGTTGTAGCATGTATCATTACTTCATTTTGTTGCTGAATAATATTCCATTTTATAGATACATCCTATTTTATCTATCCATTCAGAAGTTGATGAACATTTGAGTTTTTTCCACTCTTTGGCTATTGTGAATAATGTCACTATGAACATTTGTGTACAAGTGTTTGAGTGGACTTATTTTTGTTTCATTTCTCTTAGGTATATCCCAAGATACCTAGGACTGAAATTGTTAGGTCTTAAGCTGCTTTTATACCTATCTGAGCCAAGACCAAGAGTACCTGCAGACTGATCTCAGAAAATGGTACAAACACCATGTGGATGATGTGGCCTCATCAATATCAGACTCTCAATCCCCTCTCCCTCCATCCGTCTATATCCCTGTACTAACCCCTCCTTTCTCATTGTGTTTCTCCTGGCCATCGAAGCAAGGGTTTTTACACCTCCATAATCTCACACCTGGCACTCATTTTAGAGTCTGCTATATTTCCTTGTAGAGACTGGTGCATTTTGTTTTTGTTTTTTTTTCCCCTTTTCTATATTTTCCCTGCCCTAATTTACATTATTCTAAATAAACTGAGCCTACCATATTCCATAGAGTGGGTGGTGACAAGATTCTATCCTAAGTTATCTTCCTGAAGGGTCTCTTAGATTTAAGGAGTCTTAGGGAAAAGGTGGAGGAGGGACAGCCAGCAGCTACTGAAGGTACTTCCTCTGCCCTGGCCTTAGTTGTCTCTGGGGCAAGTGTCTGTCTTACTCTTTTTCTACTCTAAGAATAATGAATTTTATTGACTTTTAAAGAAGATTCACTGCTGAAATAATAAATCTTTATGAACACAGTATAAATAGTTTTGTATTATCCTTTTTATTGACTTAACAATAGAACATAAGTATTTTTCAATCAAATAAGTCTTCAAAAACATAATTTCAATAGCCATATCTTATTCCTACATATTGCTATACTATAATTTATTTAACCATTTCTCTCTTTGGGAGGCATTCAGGATTTTTCACTGTTTTAAGGTGTATTAAGACATATTTTGCCGCATTTTAAGTTCCTTTGGCTAGATTATCTTTAGTGGATTTGCCGGGTCAAAGGGTGTGAATATTTTTAAAGTTTGTATTACTGACTCAAAAGTCAGATTTAACTCTTTGTCTACCATGAAGCCTTCTCTAGCCACTGTAGAGCTGTGAGTCCCTTCTTTCTCTAAACCAATTGCACTTGAACAACTATGTATTACTACATAAGGATTTCATTTATTTTTCCCTAATTATTTGTTTTCTTTTTCTCTTTCTTTCTTTCTTTTTTTTTGATTAATGGTTAGACTTTAAACTCCACAAGAATGGAACCCATACCCTTTACTTTATTTGAATTCTTCACCAAATTTTGTCTCAATCGCATGAAAAACAGGAATAGTATTCTCAATTTCTCAGAAAAACAAGGATTTCAAAGGACAAGTGGCACTCTTCTAAACACAGGAATTAGGAATTTGTTGACATTATAATTCATTTGAGTCTGCTCTGTTAACCTTTTAAGTTTGATAACCCTGTTTCTTCAATTACTAGATCTGCATATTCTAATAACCCTCAAAAATCTTAGATTTTATGTTATAACCACTTCTTTTTTGGCCTATGACCTGTTGTACTTAAATTGGTAGAACAGATCTAGCTAATCCTTCCTGCAGTTAAAATGTACACCCTTCCTAACATTCTGAGTTCTTTCCATTAACCCTAAGAAAGGGTCAAAAGAATGGACAATAGATTAAGACCCATAGTTACTGCAGTCCTTGATTTCCTAAATATTCAAACATGAGATTATTTTTTCAGTCAAGCATAATAGGGCAGAGACCTAGAAATTAGAGAATGTGAGCTTTAGTCCCAATTATGCACTGAGTGTGTGAACATTGGAATGTCACTTAGCCTCTCTGGGCCTCAGTATCTTTACCTGTTGTGATAGGCAGAATAGCTGTCCCCAAAGATGCCCACATCCTAATTTTCTGAGCCTGTGAAAATGTTAGGTTACATGGCAAAGGGTGCTTTGCAGATGTGGTTAAGTGTTTTAAGGTGGGAAGAGTATCCTGGATTAACTAGCTGGTTCTAATATAATCACAAAGGTTCTTAAAAGTGGAAGGAGGCAGGAGAAGAAAATCAGAGGGAGATGTGACTTTGAAAATGGAGGAAGAAGCCATAAGCCAAGGAATGCAGTCCATGTCTAGAAGCTAGAATAAGCAAGGAAATGGATTCTCCCCTTGATTCTCCAGAAAGAAACACAGCCCTACCAACTCCTTGATTTTAGTCCATTGAGACTCATTTCAGACTTCTGACCTACAGAACTATAAGATACTAAGTTTATGTTGTTTTAAGCCCCTAAATTTATAGTAATTTGTTACAGCAGCAATAGAAAACTAATATAGCTATAAGGGAACGGGGTGGATGATAAAATTTGCAGCAGGCCTGTCAGATGTGAATCATATAATTTCACATATCTTATAGTAGTGCTTAGATACCTATGAAAAGGAACAAGGCAGTCATTATTAGAAATACTTGAATTATTCCCCAAACACGTGAAACGGTATTTAATATCCAAGTGTACTAAAGGAAAATAAAGGGCTATAAAAATGCTTACATTTAGTAGGTGATTACTTGATAATATTATTTATACTCCTTAGCTTATAGATGATGAAATTGAGGCCAAGGGTAGTTCAACAACTTGTCCAGGATTACAAAGGTGAAGACAGGATTCAAACCTAGGCAGCATGACTCCAAAACCCAAGCTCACTATGCTCACCTCACTATACTGCCTTCTAGGACTAGTGTATGTGTGTGATAATAGGGAAGCTCTTAGTGAGGAACAAGGCCTGGAAGATTCATTGGGGCCCCTGGTCCTTGGAAATTTTTAAGGTCTCCAAAGTCACTATCCTACCAATCCTCTTCTTACAGATTTTTTACCAATTGAGAAATGTACAAAGGATTCAGATGGGAATCAAAATATCACCTGTAATGCTTATAAATCTGCCTGGCTTTACCTTGCAGTAACAATTCGGCCTTCCAACACCCCTGAATGGAACTGACTTTCTCACCAAACAGCAGAACCAAGAAGCCAGACATTTCTCCACATTCCACCAATCAGATGAGATGCTCCTCACTCCATGAAGAGGGAAAGGAATTCCTATCAGAAAAGTATATTTCTGGTACTCATCCAACTTGTTCTAGAAAAGTGTTATGATTCTACAAATCCTCTCTTCTACTTCAACATCTGAATTTCTCTGAGCTTGGCAATATTTTGCCTCAAAATTGTTTTAGATAAATGTTCTAATTATCTGTTGAGGGGTATAAACATTACTTATTTATCAATGTAATGCATTGCACTTTTTAATCTCTCCTCTTCCCTTGGGAAATATAGATCAAATATTTGAGAGGTTACCTTCTTTCTTGAACACTGAAGCAAATATTTCTTTTCAAAACTCAGCAGTTTCAATCAACCTCTCTAATTTTATGGCCAATAAGAACACATGTTATTAGGTACATGATGATAAGGATAATCAAACTTATGCCCCTAGCCATAAAATGATCGTCACAAGAGTCAGGATTTTTTTTAATATCACGAGAGTCAAGAGTTCAGGATTTCTACATTTAAAGCTATAATTCTCTTTTAGTTTTGACTTCTGGAAGTTAGAAAGAGAATCATTATTAGTGGTGTTATTGTGAACAAAATACACCTGCAAGGAACAGGGCACACACACATTTCTAGATATTGGGTTGGCCAAGCCTATTCTCTGATTCTAGATTCTACAGACTATTTTGCAGGATATTGAAGTCATCAGTCCATGGCAGTGTTAGGTTATTTACTTGAAGCAAAGCACCAGGACGGAGCCATTTTCTAAAGCTGGAACCCACGTTTGACTCATCGTTTTTCTTGCATCTCAGAAATCCTGAGATAGTCAGTAGTTTATTATCAGCCCTTTATGCATTTCCTCTCAATTCTTTACCTATAGTACTTTCAAAGTTGCTGGTTGTTTAAAAAAAAATCTTTAAGAAAGGTTTGTCTGTGTATAGGAACAGATTTAACTTTCTTAATTATGTGTTTCAGCTCTCAGAATGCAAAATTTTATTTTTTAGCAAGTATTCACATTGATAGTAATACTTTAGTTATATTTCATTTTTTCCAACTTAGTTCTTCCATGATAAACAAAATGAATGAATTATATTGATTTCTTTATTGCAATGTTTCTGAATGGGCTTATTTGATTTGTCTCTTCTTCTTTTGGTACCTCACACACCTTGAATCTGTGAATATTTTATGTATTCTGTTGCATTCCCTTTATATCATATTTTATTTTTAAAGAGAGGCCAATCAAATATTTTTTTTTAATTAGAAAAAAAATGCTTTAAATTGTGATCAGAAGCAAATAGGCATCATTTGAGCATATATAAAACCTTTGAACGTGTTTATTTTGTATCACTGTAATTCATCTGTCAGTTTCTGAATTCAGTTTTTTCCAAAGAGAGCCTGAAACCTACATGCTACTAGTGAGGCAAAGTTGGACACTGAGATTTCTAATTTAGTTTCTTTGACAGGTGAAATCACATGTATCCAGAAATTGCTAGTACTTACTCAGCTGTAACTACAGATGAGACCAGGGAGATTTTCTTGCCAACACTGGCATTCATTTGCTTTGAGGATTTTTCTCACACTTCTCTTTTTCTTCACTTACAATAGATGGCCCAGTTGTTTTAGATGGATTACACCTGTTTCTGAGCAAATCAAATACATTTAAAGCCTTCCCAACATACATGTGGAATTTGTGAGCTGCCAAGAAATTCACTGTTTTCCAGAAAGTATAAATCTCTAAGGCATAGTTGGACAATCCCTGTCTTCTTAGTCTTGGCTAAGCTCAGGGTTCCACTCTTCTGTTTGTTTTGTTTGGTTTGTTGCATAATAAATTGATCTCTTCATTAGACAGAACCACCTGGAGCCTGAAGAACATGGTTGCTGCAGTCCCTGACTCTGTATCCTAGCTCGCAGCCCCAGAAGAGCTTTGACCTTTCTCTCTCCATTCACTACCAATGTGATAATCCTTCTTTTCCTTCTCATTAAGAGCAGTGATTCCCCCATCCACACACATGCACATGATAGTATTTTTTTTTCAGTAAGTATAAGAAACCAAAGAATCAGCAGGACAATTTGGTACTCTGTGATCATCATTTGCCTCAGTCACAGTTGCTCCAATACACTTTGTCATTAATTTTTTTTATTTTTATTTTTTATTTTTTTTGCAGTACGCGGGCCTCTCACTGTTGTGGCCTCTCCCGTTGCGGAGCACAGGCTCCGGACGCGCAAGCTCAGCGGCCATGGCTCACGGGCTCAGCCACTCCACAGCACGTGGGATCTTCCTGGACCGGGGCATGAACCTGTGTCCCCTGCATCGGCAGGCGGACTCTCAACCACTGTGCCACCAGGGAAGCTCTGTCATTAATTTTGTATGCTTCTGTATGTTCCTTTCTCTAACTACTTTTCTTTCTATAAAGACAGTTATCTTTATTTTTCTTTATGCTAGATGTGTCAGAAGCTGGACACTTGTCCTGCATCTGGTCATTCTAATCACCACTTTCTAAACTCTTCTGCTCAGTATCTTTTTTTTAAAAAAAAAAAAAAAAACAAGTGTTAGAAACCTAGAATGGTTGCCACTAAAACACAGCATCCTTCAATGTATTTGTAGGTGTTCAGCCATATGTTACTTAACATCATGCTCATGTGAGTGGGTGACACACACATTGAGTCAAAAAACAGCCATGGGCTTCCCTGGTGGTGCAGTGGTTGAGAGTCCGCCTGCCGA